ATTTTTTATGCATGAAAATTATTTTGGAATGCTCTGAATATGATAGATTCGTAAGAACCTCTTTTAGCTGTTTTCTATAGTCACTTTGCATTTGATGGGTTTTAAATCTTCTTCAAGTAAATGTGCTATTTTTAACCCTTTTTTCGTTGTGCATATTGCTTTGCAGTTTAGTTGTATTAAAGTTGCTAGGATGTTGCTATAGATGCTAATTATAATGCTTGGCATATATCATATGGTGCATTCCTGTTTTATTTAGAATGCTGAAGCTATATTATCTTTTTCTCTCTTCCTTTTCTATTTGCCTTTTGAATATTATTGTCAATTAACACTAGTATTTTAAATCAGCTACCACACATGTTGCCATCAGAGGAAGCTTTTGCTGCTGCTGTTTCTGCTCTAGGTATCCAGAATAAAGATGGGGTTATTGTTTATGATGGGAAGGGAATATTCAGTGCAGCCCGTGTTTGGTGGTAAGCTACTAACTTAGAGGGTGTTTGGGGAGGCTTATTTTTTGGTTAAACGAGCTTTTAAGCTAGCTTTTTTATTTCTACCTGTTTGTTAAAATGCCAAATAAGTTAGCTTATAAGTCTCATTTTAAAAAGTTGGTATTCCACAGCTTTTAAAAAACTAGCTTATAAACTCACTTTAAAAAGCTAGGTTTGACCAAGCAAATTACTATCTACTCAAACAAATTTTTATAGTATTTTTATCAAAAAAGCCAAAAGCCATTAAAAAGCAGCATAACTTATAAGCTTCAAAAAATAAGCGTTCCCAAACACCCCCATATTGAAAATGAAATGTTAAATTTCAGCAATAATACAACAGCAAAAAAGTCTTCATCCCAAAAGTTTTGGGATAGATTTGATTGCACTTGATTAAAGAGGAAGTAACTGGTAAATGGTCCTGGATGTGAAAGACCTCTATTCGTGTGCTTACCTTGCCTACGAAAAGGATATACCTACATGTTGAAGCTGGTAGGAGAACTTTTTCAATGAAGAACTTACGACTTGTCTGGAAAAAGAAATCTCAACACGCAGATGATTTTTGTTTTTTAAATTACCAATGGCTATTTTAGTTTTACATAATAGTTATTTCTCCAATTTGATAATCAATATTATCTTTACGGGCTTAGACAAGGACCCACTTTTGTCATCATAAAGAATATGAGAAGGTGATATTAACGTCACCAACAGGATATTAGGATAAGCACCAGCAACTTCTGAGAGATGGAAGATGTATAGGATGAATTCATAAAGTCTCATCAGTTACAATCATTTACTTTAAGGGGGTTGAAGGGCCGTTTGTTTTAATTCTCATCTGGATGAGTATTTATCCACCATCAAATGTTCACTGACTGTGCTTACCTAAGCAGCTAAGCAGAAAGTTGATAAAAATTCTAATAAAATTTTATCTTGTTATGATGTTTACTGCTTCTTTTTTATGTTTGATCAAGTGATAACATAGACTTTCAGCATTTCTTATCTCTATTATCTCATTCAATTTTAAAGTTCTCTTTTTCCTCTTAATAATGTCCATAATATCTAGTTTTAATATGGGTAACTTCAAATTCTTTGTCACTAACAGGATGTTCCGAGTATTTGGACATGATAAGGTTTGGGTGTTGGATGGAGGCCTGCCACAGTGGCGTGCTTCAGGATATGATGTTGAATCAAGTGCCTCTGGTGATTCAATTTTGAAAGCTAGTGCCGCAAGCGAAGCAATTGAGAAGATATATCGTGGACAGCCGGTCAGTTTACCTGTCAATAGCTTGTCTTATGAACTATATTGATTTACTTCATCGGTTTCGAGGTTCGGTTCTTAAATTTCCATTAATGATCATGCCTTAGTCTGCTTTCTATTATCTTAGCACATCTAACTCTTATTAAACACTAGAGAATTCCGCTCATTTTGTTGATTATGGAAACCTGATATGTCTAATACTCTAAAGCATGATAGTATCTACATAATGAGAGGAATGGGTAAAGGATGCTTTCAAGAATGGTACAAATATAAATGGATGGTTAAGGTTGCTATTGGTGTGGATACTTCATTCCATACTACGAATCAATGTTCTTTTTCTTTCATGATTCATGAATATCCATGTCCCTCATCTGTTTAGAACATTGTTACGATTATATTGAAATATTGACATATCCCAGTTCTTTTTTCTGTTTGTGAATATATGTGTCCCATATCTGTTTAGAATATGGATACAATTATATTGAAAATATCTGACATATCCCAATAAATATCCATGAATTTGTTCAAACGTACTTTTAGTTCAGGTATATTAAGTACTGGATGATGTGATATATTGCTTCAAGGAAGGAAAAGCTCATTGATCTTGTATGTTTTAAACATTTTTACGAAAAATAAGGTTAAACTTCTATTTTCTATAGGTCTTTATTCTTATTTGCTATTGATCTAGTATCCCACAGATTTTTTTGAGTCCAAATACATGGTTGACTAATATGGATCTCGAGTTATAATTTCGGTATGCTCTAAAATGAAACAACTATGGATATGGTTATACCTTATCCTCTCCGTATTTATTCCAAACTCAGCCATGTGTCAAAAGGACAAGTTTTAACTTTTCTATGGTTGCATGACAGGCTTAGATACATGATGGGGACTGAAAGGGATTAAAATGACACAACTATAACCAAATATGAAGTCTAAAATGCCTTATAATCTGCTGGAACTAAATGAGGTTTATACTTGCAACTGCCAACTTAGCCAGGTTACAATCTGTTATTTTAGTGCTTACTACTTTTTTTCCGAACATGCTGAACCTATGTTAAGTCCCCTAACAATTTATTCATTGTTCATGTGCGCTATTCATTTGATATTCGGTTGACATAGTACGTAGATTAAGTGTAGGATGATGTTTGTCCTGCTATGGAACACATTTGTTGAGGGAATTCATTTTTGCAGGTTGGTCCAGCCAATTTTGAGGCAAAACTCCAGCCTCATCTTCTTTGGACCCTTGATCAGGTGAGGATTTTGCTTTGCCTGTTCTGTGAAGGAGCAAGGATCTTTAAGTTTCTTTCTCATTTGTGATAATTGATTACACTAATTGAAACCCTTCATCACGGGGGCATATGCGATATGATGGAAATTATTGCAAATATGAATAAACATCTGAAATAAAATTAGAAATCCACTCAGTGCATGGTGTCAATTACAATAGTTCCTTTTTGTCAAGTAGTAGTATTACAATAGTTCTCTTAATCTTGGTTTTCCAGTGGACACCAGAACCATATGTTAGACATTTGATATTTACTCTAGAATTTTATCTCTTGTTTGTGTCTAATGTCTATTCTTCATCCTTTTTCCATTTTCTTGAAAACTTCTCTCTAATTTCACAGTTATTTTCTTGTTCTTTTCATGCTGTACTCTTACTCAACCATATTTCCTGTTTGATTGTCAAAGCATTTCAGATTTAGAGAAATTTTGCTTAAACGTATTAGATCATTTGCGGTTATTTTTTTTTCTGTTAAAAATTGTAATGATTGTTTTGAAATCAAATCATATTCTTGATTTAAAATATCAGATCCAATGCAATTGCAAAGCTGTACCAAAAATCATTGGTTTTTAGGTTGCATGGGAAAGTGAAAGCATTTTGATCTTAATTTTTATCTTCGTAAGAAAAGGATCTTTGTGCACCATTTATTCTAACTAAGCTGAAACTATTACACGAAATAGCTCGAGATGTGAAATAAAAGATGTGTGAAGATAACTGTTCTATGCCTTCAGCAGATGCAGAGTTCGTAAATTTTAATTCATCACACTGAGTGATATGTTGTAGAAATGTTAAATTCATGCAGGTTCCTCATGATGTTGGCCTTTTATGTTAAGTATTAGTTATATCGTACTGTTGCTGGAAGAATAGTGCATGCTAATTATAAGGTATTTTTCAGATTAAACAAAACATTAACGACCAAACTCATCAACATGTAGATGCTCGGTCCAAAGCCAGGTAATCAACATCTGAAAATGTTTTGTATCACTTTGTTTTGATGCTGATCTGTGGGTATTATTTAAATATTTCCAGGTTTGATGGTCTAGCACCAGAGCCACGAAAAGGAATAAGAAGTGGTCATGTACCAGGCAGCAAATGCATTCCTTTTGTTCAGGTAGTAATCTGCAGCATGTACTTTCTATGCACTTTTGAAGTTCGGTTAACAAATTTGTGCTTTTGACATAACATATATAGGATGTTCGGAATTCCTTTATAACACTATTCTGTCCACAGTTATTTGATAGTCGTCATTAAGGTGAATATTTGGTCTTCACATGTTACTTATAATTGATATAATTTGAATATCTAAAGTTATCATGCTCTCTTATTTGTACTTGCCTTATAGATTCATTCTACAAATAATTAACATTAGCATACACATTTACGCATAATTTTTTATTATTGTATTCAGATTTGCATCCATATTTGTGCATCGTGTGCCTATGTACAAATTTTATCGTATCCATGGATTCCATGCGCTCGTTTTTTAAATTTGTTGCATCTCCATGTCTGTCTCATAGTTTAACATCATTATACTAATTAGATCTCTAGTAGAATGGATTTAGTCCAGCATAATTTTGTTCCATCTTTTCTTAGATAGTTTTATGGTGGGCATTTAGGTAGTTAGAAACAAATGGGGTCTGGGTCTTCTTCCTGTCTTTATAGATTTTTTGTGCTATGAATCGAGAATGTTATTAGTCTTTGCCAGACTAATATCAATCGTCAATCGTTTGCTTATATGTTTCCTGAATGCCACTATTTGCTTGATGCTCAAGATGGAGCTAGGCAAAGGAGGTTTGGGTTGTCATGACTATGTTTTCCCCCTTTTTTTTAGTCGTGTACCAGTTCTCTACTTTGTTCAAAAATAGCATAACTCTTGGAAGAAGCATGCTATGGCTTAGTTAATCGACAATCTACTCTCAATCAATCCCAACCACCCTTAACCCGCCCCCCACCCCGCAGGAAAAAAGTAATAGTAATAATAACGAAAAATAAATAAATAAAAACCACCACATCACATACACTTAAGACACCAGGTCAAAACAACTTTGATCTGGCCTTAGATGAGCTTTACTTTCTAGCAATTCTTTGTACTAGACATGACCGATTACCTTATCAGCTGTTATATGCGTATGTGAATTGTGCATTGACCATGATACCATTTTACAGATGTTGGATGGCTCTCAGATGCTATTGCCTTCCAGTGAGCTTATGAAAAGGTTTGAACAAGAAGGTCAGAACTCACAATGTCATTCAACCATCATATTCTTCAGATTCATGCTGTTTCTATGCTCCTTTTTCACTAGAAATGTGTTTTTGAAATCTCTTTGAAAATCGTTCTTTGCGACAGGCATCTCTCTAGATCGTCCAGTCGTTACCTCTTGCGGAACTGGTGTAACTGCTTGTATTCTTGCTTTGGTAATACCTTCACCTCCACTTCGACAGCCTTGGTTTTGTCAAAAATGTCAGCCGATGTATTTAACATGTTCACATTGTTTCAGGGTCTTCACCGGATTGGTAAATCTGATGTTCCCATTTATGATGGATCTTGGACGGAGTGGGGTTCTCATCCTGACACACCAGTTGCAAGTTCTTGAACCGTATGTGGTGTTTTATGATTTCTCCATGTGCCGAGACCATGATCATGAGTCAGGAGAATGTATATCAGACAGGCGCGCCCGGTTTCTTCTCAAGATTTCTCGTGTAAATGCTCGAAGTTTAATAAGGCTTGTTTTGAGCTGTTTCTATATGGACCGTTACTTACGTAATTTTTGCATGCCCTTAAATTAACATCTAACAATTTGGATATGCTGGGACATCATCAAAGGAAGAAGAAAAGTGTGCTTTGGCTTATGCGATATGCTTATAGTTTGAATTCAAAATAGACGAAGGCATGCTCGCACCTTACAGTTGGGGCTTGAAATTTCGCTGATCAAACTCAGCAGGCCCACGAGACCCATACCAAAGTGGTGAGCCGTGTTACTTCAAAATTAAAAACGCATGTAGTACGTATTCGATCGAGATAATCTTTTTTTTTAAACAAAATTTTGTTTAGTATTCAATTAATTGATTAGAAAAGTAAATATAATCTTCTTATATTGAACTACATATTCTCCATTAAGAGTTTTAAAAACTATAACGTATTTAAATGTAATTTTTAAAAACTTTAGGGTATGTAAGAGCTGTTGGGTACCAACTTAAACTCCAAGTCGGATGCGGTTTTGAAGGGTAGGCTTAATCCTAGTAGTTTTTTTTAGAGGCCAAGTTAACTTGATGGGCAAGTTAGGATTGTGTCTTTGATTTTTTATATAACTTCATGAGAATTAGATAGAGTTAAAGATCTATCATGATTATGAGATTAAGTCTCATCATGATTAGGAGTTTGAATCCTATTCTAATTAGAAAATTAGGCTAGAGATATTATTTTGGTTTTTCTATATATATTCTTCTATTGTTGGAGGAAAAACTAAGGAGAGTAGAGAGAATGGAAGAGACAATATTTTTGTAATCAGGGTTTTAGAGGGTGTAACATGGTTCAAGGGTATTGTGAGAAAGAATGTTTGACAGTATTTGTCTGTGCAAAAGATTGTAATTTGGAGGTGATAGTGGATTGATTTTGATCTCTTGGTTTTTCCCTATTGAGGGTTTTCCACGTTAAATCTTGTGTGATTCTATTTGTCGCGTTTGGTGATTTTCAGGGTTTTTGCGAGATCTAAAAATCCCAAGTGGTATCAGAGCGGAGTTTGACGGTTCGTGGAGGTTTGATCGGTGCGCGGTTGGTGAAGGCGTCAGCGGTCAAAGCGCGATGATTAGCAGCATGGGAAACAAAAAAAAAAAACTAATGTAGCAGGAATACTGTAGCGGGGGCGGGAACACTGTTCATGTGGGTGAGGGTTTGCTTACAAACTATTAAATTAAATCCGACGGTGCAAATTGATTTGTCTTTTGATCGAGGATTTGAAGGTGGGTTTTGGTGATCCAGGAGTCGTTTCTAGGGTTTTTCGACGTGCTGAGTTCATTTTTTATGTCAGATTTTTCAAATTCAATTTCTACAGTGTCTGATTTGAATTTTGATTATGGTTAGAGGATGATGACTTCTTCAGGTCTGAAGTTCGATATTCCGCTATTCAACAACAAGACAAAGTTTGCAGTATGACAGTACACGGTTCAAGATATTCTTGTGTAGTAGGGTGTTGATAAAGCTTTGGAGGAGAAACCTGAAGGATTGAAGGATGCTGAATGGAGTTCCATACAAAAGAGGGTGGTTAACGCAATTCGTTTGGCACTAGCCCCCGAGATTAAGTATAATATTATGCAAGAGAGACCACACCAAAGGGCGCTATAGGAAAGGTTCGAGGGGATTTATGCGTCGAAGTCGATGACCAACCGATTGTGTTTGAGGATTGAGCTTTATTCGTTGAAGATGGAAGAAGATACTGTAATTCAAGACCACATCAATGCCTTTAATCAGCTAGTTTGCCAATTTATGAATATTGATGAGGAGATTAAAGAAGAAGAGCGGACTCTACTCCTATTGTTTTTCTTGCCGAAGTCGTACAAGCCGTTTGTTCAGATGATAATTGCAGGGAAGAAGACTTTGAAGTTCGACAATATGACAGGACTCCTACATGAGAATGAAAGAATGATGGGAAAGGAGAGTGCATCTAATGGTGGTGAAAGTGCACTAGTTTTTGAATGTTCTAATCGAGTGAGGAGTAATGGGAGATGTGACAGTTATCGAGGAAGGTCAAAATCTCGGGCCCGATACGACAGCGAAAGAGTGCTATTATTACGGAGAGAATGGTCACATTCTGTTCAGATGTTTCCAGATACGAGATGATTTGAAGAGTATTAGACAAATGAAGTTTCAAGAAAATGAAAAGAAGGTGGACTCCTCGGTGGTTGTATGTGATGAAGATATAGTGTTGTTGATGCAGAGTACATGTACTGATGCGAGTAACACTTGGGTGTTAGATTCTGCAGCCTCTATGCACGTTTGCAACAACAAAAACTATTTTGATACATTGAAGACAGATGAAGAATTTGACGACGTGATTGTTGGAAACAACGAGAAGATAAAGGTTGAAGGTGTTGGAAGTGTTCGCCTCAAGCTTCATACTGGGAAGGTCAAAATTCTTCATCATGTGAGATATGTGACGTCATGTGGTGCTAATTTAATTTCGTTGGGTGAGATGGCATCGCGTGGGTATAAGTATGTGAGTGAAGGAGAGTGGTGCAAAGTGTATAAAGATGGTGATTTAATTTTACGAAGGAGGAAGAATAACAATCTTATTTGCTATTTAGACGGACGATTTGTTAATAGTGTAGATGACTCTTCTCAGACTCTTACCCACAAGGGAGAGGTGAAAAACAAGAAAAATAGAGTGAGTTTTTCTGAAACCGTTGAGACACTTGGAGATTTTTCGTCGAGGGAGGATATGTTGGGTACCAACTCAAACTCCAAGTCGGATGTGGGTTTGAAGGCTAGGATCAATCCTAGTAGTTTTCTTAGAGACCAAGTTAACTTAGCGGGCAAGTTAAGATTGTATCTTTGATTCTTTGTATAACTTTATGAGACTGAGATCTATCATGATTAGGAGATTGAGTCTCATCATGATTAGGAGTTTTAATCCTATTCTAATTAGGAAGTTTGGCTAAAGATAGGATTTTGGTTTCCCTATATATACATTTTTCTATTGTTGGAGAAAAACCAAGGATAGTAGAGAGAAGGAGAGAGACAATGTTCTTATAATCATGGTTTTAGTGGGTGTAACGGGTTTCAAGGGTATTGTGAGAGAGAGAGAGAGAGTTTGACAATATTTGTCCGTGAAAAAGATTGTAATTTGGATGTGATAGTGGATTGATTTTGATCTCGTGGTTTTTCCTGTTGAGGGTTTTTCACGTTAAATCTCGTGTGATTCTACTTGCTGTGTTTGGTGGTTTTCGGGGTTTTGTGAGATCTAAAAATCCCAATAATAGCTGCCAAAAAAGAGAGGGTATATAACTGTAAGTTTAAAAACTTTAGGGTGTTGCTAAAAACAAGTAAGGTAATACGATTGCAAAGTAAGGGAAACTATAGGTTTAAGTGCAATTAAGCCTGTCAAAATTGAGAAACTTTAATAAAAAAAAGGGTATTTAGATATTAGTCCCTTAAATCTTCAATAATTCCATATTAGTCTCAAATCTAAGAAATTGCTCATTAGTCCCTCAGAATCTAAAGTTACTGCAACTTTGTCCCTCAATGATCAAAATACCCTCAACTAATGTTTCTTTAAAAGTTATTTGCAGTGTGTCACTCTAAATTTTATACCTTTTTAACTTTGATATCCACATTTTTTTTGACACCAGAAATCCCACTTTGATGTCCTAAACTTTTTTTTTTACATTTTGATACCCAAAAGTTTATACATTTTTAACTTTCATAGCCCAAACATGCCACATCTTTTAACTTTGTGTTTGGTGAGAAAATTAAAAGAAAAAAATGGTGAATTGAATTTCTATTATTCTCTCTAACAGACTTAGAAAAAGAATAAGTTTGCAATTCTCTCAATGCAATCTCTCTCTAACAACTTAGAAAAAATTTTGTAATCTTTTTGTATCAAATTTTCGATTTACAAAAGAGAGAAAGATCGACGGAGACCTTTCCCTTTGTTTAACCTGGGTTCTTCTTGGTGTCGATGGAATGCCTCTATCGAATCCTTGCGTCGAGTTTGCTTTCCGTTGACGATCTGAACTCTTCACCTCATGGAACGTTGTCTTTGCCTCTTGACTCGAAGTCTTGGACAAACTTGCATGGCAAGTTTGAAACTTTTAACGAGTTAGGGAACTCTGAGCGACTCTATGGAAGAGTTGATTGATTTAACCGAAAATCGGTTTGTAATCCAAGGTCGGTGAAATCTCCAGGAATAACTCCGAGGGTTTGAAGATTGTCGAGATCCTTCTTCTGCCAAGAAGCCTTTTGCCGATCTCCAAAAGATTCATCCCGAACTCAGTTGAGTTTGCTGATATTTATAGAGGGATTTTGGGTGTAACTGCCCCATAATCCGTTCCTTAATGGGGGTTTATGGAGTGTAACTGCTCCCTTAAATCTCTCCTTAATGAGGGTTTATGGGGTGTAATCGTCCCTATTAAATGGAAAAACGATTTTGAAACCGTTCATGTTCTGTTTGAACCAGTCAAATGCGAAATTCGCGTTCTGGAATGAACTCTGTGTCTTGATCCTGGGATGCAGAGTTGGGCTCTGTGTATTGGGCTGAAAACGCAGTAATGAGCTCTGCATTTGGATATGGAACGCAGCGATGAACCTTGCATTTTGGGTTGAAAACACATCAATGAGCTATGTGTTCGGATCTGGAACGCAGCGATGAACCCTGTGTTTTGGGCTAAAAACGCAACAATGAAAGCTGCGTTTGGATCTGGAACGTAGCGATGAACTCTGTGTTTTGGGCTGAAAACGTAGCAATGAGCTCTGCGTTTGGGCTGAAAACGTAGCAATGAGCCCTGCATTTGGATCAGAAGAGATCGTTGACTTATAATCTCTTTTGTCAGAGCGTTACAAGATTGTCATTATGTAATCTTCGCTCTAGCTCCTTAAAATATGGGAATCGTCAGATTGTAATTCCCGCTATGAAGGCTGTTGATCAGAGCTTTCATCGGTTGTTGTGATGATTGTTGAATTGTAACCCTCATTGATCTACATAAAAATCTTTAGATTGTAGCCTTCGCCTGTGATGTGAAAATCGATTGATTGTAACTTTCATTGTCGAGTTATTGATGCAGAAGTCGTCAGGTTGTACTATTATATTTCCTTCGCCTAGTTCATCTTTTGTCTTCTCATCTAACTTCACTAGAAATTTGA